TGCGAATTACTTTGTTCATATTGAAGTAATCTTTCGATGCGTTGACCCCACTGACATAGACAAGACGACGTAAGGTGGACACAGGCATAGGCGACAACAGGGCCCTGCGCACCAGGTTTCATTGAGAAATCTCGTGTTTCACTTTGATACAAAAAACTGCTGAAATTACCACTTAGTTCTCACCTATTTCCCTCCAAATTGTAGACTTTGCCCTGTGCGAAGGCTTGATAGCAAAGTTGACGAGATTTGTTGAAATAAAACAAAAGAAGAATATCAAGTTGTACTAAAGTAAACCTATCAGTGAACTCTGTTTCCTGGGCATTCTAGCCCCTCAATTAGATAACTATCCAGCCATGAACATGCCCTTTTTCATCAGTTGTCTTTGAAGATCAATGTTGCTCGGTCATTCTCATGAACGGCAGGTATTTCTTAAGGCCAATACCGAGTGAGCGAGAATCTAGTTCACTGTGTGCATGGGGTGAACTTTGAGTACCTTGTTGAGACGGTGTGGTGCGGCTGTGTAATTAATCGTGCTATCAACAAATGTTTGCCCCACTTTTCCGGTTATATTTAACCCACGCAAACAAAAGCCTGATGGGTTTGTGCAATTATCTTTCCTGCTGCGATTAGTCACGCTGAACCACGAAACGACCTTGCACCCTCTTGATAATTAATCTACCTGATATACCTTGTTATGCATACACGTGGGTGTGTTCTAGGTTGAAGCTACACAGGGGCTATGGGCGTGTTAACCAATAAATTGGCTAAAGTGAGAACCTCCTGTCTTGGCTAATGCATCCCAGACAGTAATTATACAGTAATGAGCGCAAGTAGGGAATAATTTCTCGTCAGGAGGGGCGCCATGACCTTGAAGGGTATTACAGGTTGTCGACAGTGGACTTGATCCGATTGCGTTTCGTATCCCAACGCGACGGTTGAAACGTAAATGATTGGAAGGAGGGGGGGAAGGGGTTGGCAGATTTGGATAATTCAGTTGACCCAATTGTGAAAAATTCGTGGCCTCGGTGGGATTCGAACCCACACAGTTGGGAAGACTTTTGTATGACTAACGATTAATAGTCGAAGCGGTCCTCCAATGGTCAGAATAGCTGGCATTCTGGCACCACAGACGGAAATGCCGAGCTCCGTGTATGGATGATAAGTTCATCCATCGTCGAACGGGATCAGATTCTGGCATTAAGAGGAAATCTCAACTTCGTCTTCCTGGAAATACAATTTGCCACGGAGGACGAAAAAAATAACTAGTTGGCCTCCCTTTGTCAGCCGGAAAACCCGTGTCAACGAAAAATTTGACGCAGGCACAGTGCTTCACAACCGTGTCTACGTAAGTACACTATATCGATCGTGTTCACACGCGCTTGAGTAAACCAGATGACAAGACTGTCTGCATGCGAAAATAAAGCAGCAAATGCAGTTTCAAACGAGCCGACAGAAAATAAGGCCCAGTCTCAAATTTCAGCTAGCGCTCTTCTACGCCTAGTAAGCCGTTAGTCACTTTCTCAAAATGCTTGGAATTATGATTACACGCAGACCAGGGACATCTGTCAGGTATTAAGTAAAGAAACCGAAAGATCCACTTTCCGTAGCAATGTCAAGAAGCGCTGGCTCCATCTAATTCGACTGCACGGAAAGCCAACCGATTAGTGAAACTAGGAGATGGCTATGACGCGGATGTCCGAACATGCAACGTCATTGTGATAGAATGGTGTCAGCTTCAAGGGCACGGCTCATTTCACGGGACCCGGTCACAATTTTAAGATTGACAAGATCAAAGTTCTCGTGAGTGGTAACAACCGCGTAAACTATGAGCCACTTCAATTATGTATACTCTCTTCGCAGGCGCAATGATCCCGCGGTGCCGAGACTGCCTGGCCACAGGGGAGAGGCGAACTCTTAGGCCCTTAGTGATTTGAATGCCGACAAGCAATCCAGCATCGCACAGATTTCAATCATCTGCGAAAGAGTTTCTGAGCATGGTAGCTATATATTTGTGTGGCAGCTTCATTCTCTATATGCTCCATCCACCTTTATGTCTAAAAACCTTCTCTGTACCTGCACCTGCCGATGAACTGTCAGGGGGAGAAACTAATTTTCCAGGTACCGCATCTCTTTCTTGCTCGCTGCCTTCCAGACCTCGATACTTATCTCTTGTATCGACTAAGATCATTACTACGTAATTAGTGTTGATGCCTAATGTTCTCCCATACTGCGGCTTTTTTTCTGAACCCAACAAATTCATGGTCGTGGTCAAACCCCCCTCAGAAGTACAGCGTGAAGGTGTTTGTATACGGATCTCACCTTTGGTTGCGCAATCTTTGAGAGGACTTTGACAATGGCAGCGCATTCCTCCTCTGTGAAACTGGCAGTCGGCTTGAATTGCGGAGGACCGGAGAGGAACTCGCAGGGATAATGGTAGACGGAGTGCGGTGGCAACATTGCGGGATGAGGTATAAAGTAGGGATTGAAGGGCGCCATG